ATCTGCTCAAGTAGAGAATAGAGAAATTTATCTATCCTCTACTTAATTTATCACTTAATATTGAACAAGTAATTTTAAGAAACAAGAAGTTACTCTGTGACTAGAAGAAATTAACTTAGAAAATATCTTTGTAAATTAAAATTGTGGGGCATTTAAAGACATCATCTATTGCATCTAACTAAGGCTGGACATAAAAGTTGTTGCCTGAAGTGTAAAGATCTCTGTGGAAGGAAAAAAAAATACAGCTTCTCTTTTACTCAGTAAAGTTTAAGAAATATTTGCTGCTAAAAATATTTTTAAAATAACTCTTAGCTTGAATAAATAAAATACCCTGTACAAAGTTATCTCTGGCAATGAGATGAACTAAGAATAGTTTTTATTGTAATCATAAACAAAAACTAATAATTTAATTACATGGTTCTATGGAAGTAAGAAATTGTAATATCCACATATTCCTATTGTGAATCCAATTAATTCAACCTCAGGACAAAGCTGTGAGTCTATTAAAACGCAAATAGCAACCTCAGAGTCCCTTGAGAAGGCTTTCCTACTTTTTATGATGACTGTCTTTAAAAATCACAAAGTATGAGAACTCTCCAGGAGACGGCTGATTCCTGGTCCTTTTCCCAGAGGGACCTGCCCAGGGAGTTCCCTTAGTTGACCCCCTCTTCTGACTTGTGTTTGTTGTCACCCCCTTCCTTGTTGTCTTCAGTTACACTTGTGTGGAGTAAATTTTTTCATTCATGGCTCTTCTATCAATCATTATATCCGGATAAATAGGAAAAAAAATGAAGGAAAAGCAGCAGCCTTGGTACAGATGGATAGAAGAGGCACCATTGTAAAAATAATTTAATACAATTTAATCCTCGTTTCTTCCCTGTATGGTTAGTTACTATTATTATCCTCACTTTTTCAGCTGAGGAAACAGAGGCACAGAGAGCCTAAGAACCTTTGAAGGTTTTGAGACTAGAAAGTAGTAGAACAGGAATTCAAATGAAACCTTGAAAATCTGGCTCCAAAGTCCATAATGTTAACCATTTTGCTTTACTATCACTGAGGGAACCATATAAAAAGGACATGCTCACTATAGACAATGTGGGAGATCACAGGCATGACTGCGGAAACAAAGCATAGGAAACCAGACCTCTCCAGGGCTTATTTCTTCACGTTATTAAAGTTTTCAGGATTCTGTAGACTCTAAGGTAGAAGTACATTTTTAGATGTTGGGTGACGGCCCCTTCTTTACTAAGGCTTTCAGCACATGAAATCTCAATCAAGAACTAGTAACTGAAATGTTGTTTGATGATTGCCTCTAACACCTGAAATGTCGTCAAATGCCACTAAGTAATAGGCCGGTGGTTTTCAAACTGTGATTTGGAGGACTGTAGTGCCCCCAAAATCTCATTAAAGGACCTTTTAGCCCAGTTTCAGCTCCACTTTCATATGCTTTACATGGTGAACTCCTACACAAGTTTTTTTTAAAGAAATGGTTCTACTGCTTAAAATTTATATTTTTATATATATATTATAATCATCTTTACACACTATTAAATATTTTGCTTATTCATTTACACATTCATTCATTTTATTAGGCATTGGGAAAACAAGGTGAAATATCACAGAGCTCCTTCCTTTATGAGCTTGCAATTTTAGGAACTGCTCCAATTTGAGGGCTGAGTTTAATTTAAAGTCAATTATTGTCCTATGTACTTTTTTTTGAGGCAATATAATCATAGTCACCAGGTCAAGACCCTTTCAGTGCCACAAATTTTAACGTGCTGCTCATCACAGACACATGAATCTCAGTACGAGACACTGGATCGTATTAGTCTGGGGGAAGCAAGGAAGGAAGATTTACACTCACTCAAAAGCAGGGCCAATAAAAGAAGCAGAACAGTTAGTTTTCTTTAAATATGTAAAAATTGTTTCATTTCTTACCTCTAGAGCTTTCAATCTCTCTAACAGCAATTTGGTCTTTTCTTTTCCCTCATCTGCACTGCTACTTTCGCTCCTAGAATCCTCGTCCACCATCATGTGAAGATCTTCCAAAGCTTCCTTGTGTTTTCTCTCTTCTTCTGACAGTTTTTCCTGAAGCAAAGAAGAATTATGGTTTTCAATAATCTCCACTAAAAAATAAACATGAGTGTTAAGGCTGAAAAGGTTGGAATCCTCCTATCACTTGTGCACTCTTCTGAGGCGGAGGTAGAGATTTTGCTAAACAAATTCTGAGTGGTGCTTATACTAGTAAACACGGTAGATATTTTAACTGAACCCTGGCAGGACACAGCCATTGGGTCACTTTCTCTGAATGCAGATGTCCCTGCCCAGTTGGAGAAGTGACCAAGCCAGCAAAGCCACAGGTGGAGTCATATGGTTAATCCAATTTTATCTGCACAATGGAATTCAGCTGTGCTTTAAACTGAGGAAAAATACATCAATTTTGATACCTTGATTTATGAAAGGCTTAGCTTCTCAAAATAGGATCATTAAAGCCACTGGACGTGTACCCATTTAATTAAGGAATATAAAATATCACAAAATACTGAAATAATAGTGATTTCAGAATTCTAAGCTAAAACCAATTTGTTCTTTCAGTTCAATGATGACACAACTTTTATGGACCCCTTAGTCCCTTTTGTAGCATTTCAGGATTTGTAGTCTATCTCTGAAGCAGACATGAAACAGTATCTTGTCTTACCTCCCTGTTGGAAGCTCCTCACTCAACCTTGTCTCTGGTAGCTCTTTAGAAATTGAAGTGTTAAGTTGAGCCTCATGCTTGGCTCTTGTTTTCAATAGGAAAAGAAATATCAAGAGAATATCATATGAAAAAATCCTATCCATTTTGTACATGTATCAAGACCCTTGCTCTATACAACCAGGTGACATCATTCCATCATTTTAATTCTAAACATAACACTACAGAAATCTTTACTTTAATATAGCTGGTTGTCAACCATCTGGGCTAAACCAGATTATCAATGGTGAAAGATTTCTTTATATTTAGTCCTAAGCTAAGATCAATTTGTAAGTACGGAAGCACAAAAGATATGATTCTTACCCTCAAGGTGCTCATAAAATCTACTTAGAAAAAAACAGCATAAGAAGAAGAAAAAAAAAAAAACAGGGTTTCCAAACTGTTCACCAAGATGCTTTGAAGGTTTCAAAAATATTTGCTTTAAATTATTTTTTGAACATAAATTATGATGTATATAAGAATGTCTTACTATATATGTATACATATGTATATGTACATATGTATTAAGCATATATGTATACATGTATAAAACACTGGAGACTGAGTAAATTGATCCATGTTAATCTTCTTTGTACAGATTGCAAAATATAATTTATCCTGTTATCTCTGTATCTATAAATGCACAATTGATCAGGAAGGTGGTAGTTCTTTATGAAACGAGGCCACAGCATGTCTAACCATATACAATGTGTAGGTGTGTTCACTTTCATAGCTGGTGTGAGTTTAGCTCACATAAATGCCAGGCAAGTTTAAGGTGCATATCCACAGGCCAGGAAACAAATCCGGGTCATAGGAGCATTTTTTAATAGCTTTGATTTTTGATTCTTTGTTTAAGGTTTGGCTGCTTGTCAAACTTTCACTTCCATGATAAGGAATATGAAGTTTATAGATACTGCTACCAACTAAGTTTTGAAATAAAGAGGTCCTTCAACTTCTCTTTTATGATTCGAGATCGCTAAAAATAAACATTAACCTGGGATTATAAAGAAAGCTGTTTTAAAAATTATTATCATCTTCATTTTACTCCTCTGTGTGAATTATGGTTTTTCATTTCTCATTAAGCATATTCCATTTCTGTTTTGCATATATATACACGTATACACATACAGTCATACATCACTTAATGACAGGGATATATTCTGAGAAATGTGTTCTTAGGCTATTTTGCTGTTGTGTGAACATCACAGAGTGTACTTACACAAACCTAGATGGTATAGGCTACTACACACCTAGGCTATATGGTATAGCCTATTGCTCCTGGGCTACGACCTTGTATAGCATGCTATGCAGCGCATGCCTGGGGGTGTGTGTGTGTGTATAAATATATATATTGAGGTATCATGTAATAATTAGAGCTCTGAAGCTAATTAAAACAAAGAACAGCCATTGGTATGGTAAACGAAAAGCCACAAGACTTTGGAATCTAACAGCTGGATCCCAAGTCTATCATTCATTTAGCAGCTGATCTTGGCAAACTACTTAATTTCAATAAGTCTTGGTTTATTTGTCTCCTAAACTCCTAAATGAGGCTAAGGACAACATACATATCATTACATACTGTAGAGTAAGTTCTCATTATTGACAGTGGCTATGTTCTATAAAGTTGTCATGAACACTGAATTAGCAAATATGGAATTATTACTCCTAGGGGAAATACAGGGTTAGGTTCCTATGAGACTCTGGTCACATTTTCCTCAACCAATCAATACATAACCTATTTTAATGTGTGTTTCTAAGATACATATTGTTGATTCATTAACATTGAACTAACAGCCAACAGCAATGTTACCCATGCCTTAACAAATCTCATCTAACACACATATTTTCTCCATCAGGCACATCACAGCATGCTTATGCTTAGGAGCACTATGTGCAGCACATCAACACCATGCTTGGGGCAATTTCAAACTGTAAAATCACCATCAAAAAGTGGAAAATGCGGCACTAAATAGACCACAAAAAGGAGACTTGCGTATCACATGAGAGCTAAAACAAGAAGGCAGAGTGCTGCTGAGTCTTAGCTGGGAACATGTCCCTCAGGTGGCAAATTTTTCACTTTTCTGTGCATGTTCATGAATGACCATGAAAGTACCACAAATGATTTTGGGGTTGCAAATAAATTTTTGTGAGTAGGCCATCTGCAAATACAGAATCTACAAATAATGAGGACACACGACCATAAACACACATACTAGGCACAGTGCCTAAATATTATGATGTGAAATGACTGGATATAACTAAAGAGAATATAGATTATATATATGAGTATTCAGATTACATAAAATGCAAGGGTCATTTTACATAATTTGAAGAAAGGGCAATCAATGAGGGCTATAATTTCATGAAATGGATTTCATGGACTTATTCTTGGACATAGTGATATAATTTATATAGAGAGGCATAGATTGGAAGTTTGGTCAAAGAGAAAATGTTCCCAGTCAGGAGTAAGTTTTGTCCGTACAGGTTTATAAGGAAATCAGTTTGATTATAGCAGAGAAAAAAACTTTTAAGAGAGTAGCTGAGTAATAGGACTGGAGAGAAAAGGAGAGAAAGGATTCTTGGAAATGACACTGAAAAATTCAGACAATTCATTCATTCGTTCATTCATCCAACAAATGTTTTTTGAGCACTGACTTGGCCATTTGCTGTCTAGGTGCTGGAAATATGGCAAACAAGACAAGGTTCCTATAGCCCGTGAAATTACATTATAATGTTGGGAACCATGACAAAGTCCAAATCAAATCTGTAAGTAATATAATTGTAGCCAGTAGTAAACGCTATGAAGAAAATAAAACAATATAATGTGATGGACAGAGGTATGGTTAGGAACAATGTTAGATGGTGACATCAGAGTAAGGCTGTTTGAGGAGGGGGGCATCTGAGCTGAGGCCAAACAGCAAAGAGGAAGCAGCTGTGCAGGGGTCGGGAAAAGCATTCCCAGCACAAGGACTAGCAAAGCAAATGCCCAATGGTGGGGCAGGGCGGGGCGGGGCGTGCCTGGCTGGAGGGCTGAGGGAGAGGCTGCGTGGTAGAGCACACTGACTACAAGAGGAAGACTAGCAGGAAATGGATCAGAGAGAGAGCTGGACCACAGAAGGTCTCGCAAGGCATAGAAAGGACTTTCGATTTTATTCTTGGTGTAGTAAAGGAGCTGAAGGCTAAGCAGGGGAGTGTTAGGTTCTGATTTATACTTTAGAAAGATCATCATCCTGACTACTGCAGCAGTGGAGAATGGGCTGTGGAGGGAAGGAGCCGGGAGAAATAAAAATCAGGAATATTTCGAAGGTTTGGATCAGACTTAACCAAAAGCGGTGCTTACGAGAGATCAGAATCAGGGTTAGAAGCCCTGGATTCAATGCCCAGCTTTTATATTTTTGGACCCTGCCAGGCAAATTATTTGTCTTTTTTAGGCCTCAGTTTCACCTTGATATAAAATGAGGAGTTGGACTAAATGTCCCTTCCAAGTAATAAAGGTCTAAGAATTCAATTACTCAAGACACAATTTTTAGCAAGAAAATGTTGACAGGACACTGAATGGTAAAAGAAATGACAAGCAAACAGAAAAAGGATCTCTACATTTTGTAATAAGAAGGTTGTTAGTGGGAATTTGAAGACTGTTTGACTAGAGCGTGACAATGGTACCCAAATTGTCAGTGGTTAAGCAAAAACCGAAAAGAGAGGAAATAGAGGTAATTTTCTTAGATGCTCATTTGAAAGTTTGGCAGGGAAGGAAAAATAAAGAACTATAGCTGAAGGGCGTTTCAGAGGCAAGTGGAAACCTTTTTCAAGGTAGAGAAAAAGGAGCGTTTGAAGAACTAAAGAGGAGTGAGAGCACCTGAAAGGGCAGCAAAGGTAGGAATTCATGAAGGGATCTCCAAAGCCAAGAAGGCATAGGATGAAGGACATTGGTAGAAGAGCCAAGGCCCTAACATGTAGTTCCCTGCAAAAGCTCGTGTTACAACTCAGTTTCTCAGCCTTTCTAAATCATGAGTGTCTAGCCTGGGTTCTTAGAGAACAAGGATTTGAGTGCAAGTGGTTTATTTGGGAAATGCAGGAAACAGCAGTAGGAAAGCAGGAAAGAGATTCAAGGGAAGGAAGGGAGCCATTACAGAGTACTCAGAAAGTGGAGCTATATTATCCCCTGCGAGATTCAGGGAGATGGTGCAAAGCACAGGTCTCAGAATTATCCCACCCCAGGTGAGACAGCTGGCGTGTCTGTGCACCACCCCTTGAGATTCACTGGTTGAGGGCAGCTCTTGGGCTGTTCATTTCCCGGCCCTTCCAGCCTGCCACAGGCAGTAAGGCTTTGTGTGGTTCTCACATAAACATGCCC